TGAAGACAGACCAGCAGGTGGGCAGCTTTTCCAAACTTGGGGGCTGGGGAAGCTGCCCTTGGGGATTTGCAGTTGAGACCCTGAGGAATCAGCCTGCAGAGGAGGCACTGACGGCCCTGGAGGCTGCCCCTCCCTCCCAGGCCACCTGGAGGAGAGCTCCTGCCTGTCAGCCAGTCCGGGCCCTAGGCTTCTAGCCCTGTACCCTTAGCATGCCCCCATTCTTGTCAGGGTGACACCCCCCGGCAGCGGGCGGAGAAGGCTCAGGACACAGAGTTGGCGGCCTACCTGGAGAACCGGCAGCACTACCAGATGATCCAGCGAGAGGACCAGGAGACGGCTGTGTAGTGGGGATGGCCCTTGGGCAGCTGGAGGGACGACTACAAGATGAATGCCCTCCTCGCCCACCTCACTGCCACATTCCAGCCGGATGGCCACGGGGGGACCCATGTTCTGGGGAAGGAGCCCCGTGCTGCCCTGAGGAGCTACCCAGACCTAGATGCTGAGGAGCTGGACTCTCACCTGTCCCCCCGAGGCCCCAGCCTGACCTGGAAACAGGCTGGGCTGGATGGGCCTTTGGCCAGGCGTGGGGCTGGGCCACTTCAGGGCAGTCACCCCCAGTGCAGCCGAGGGAGGAGCAGGGTGGAGGCTAGGCGGTGTCCTGGAGGCCTTCAGGAAGAGGCCTCGACAGCCACCTGGCCTGGGAGCCGCACCGGGTCCAGAGCTCAGTCCCTCTCCTCCCCTTCCGCCCTCCCCGAACCGCAGAGCCTGCTGCATTCACCTGCCCGCCGCCCTGCTTGGCACCTACCCCGTGTCATTTCCTCGAAGACTGTGTGGCCTGGGGGTGGGGGACGGGGCTCCCACGGTGACATGTTTACAGCTGGGTGTGACTCAGTAAAGCGGAGTTGTTTTTTTCCTTTCTGGTTTTCTTCTTTTGCCATGGAGGTCTGAGAGAAGCTCGGGGTGTGCTAGGTTACCCTCGTGGGTGGGGGGGCTGGGGACTGCTGGATCGACCCTTTCCAGGGACCCCGGTTCCCGCTTCGGGGAGCCTGCCTGCCCGGCTCCTGACCTCTGCCCCGAAGCCTTACTCCTTGGGGCGGAGCTGATTTTTCTCCAGCTTCCCGCTTCCCTCTGGGACGAAAACAATGAAAGTGAAAGAGGTGGGCGGGAGAGGGGGGGCCAGGCCTGGGCTCCGAGGTCCATTTGGCCCAGAGGCCCCCCTCCCCCAGCCTGCAGGGAGAGGGGGAGGGCTCCGGGGAGAGCCCCGAGGCTCCGGGGTCAGAGGGTGGGCATTTACCATCGCCAGGGGGCCGGGTCTGCAACTTCTCAGACGGCTCTTGTCAGCTCCAAGTTTTACCAACCCAGGCCGGCGGGCCCCTCCTCCCCTCCAGCCCGCGTTCCTCGGCTCGGGCGCTTTGCTCTGGGGTCCTGAAAGCCAGGCTGCCCCCACGGCAGAGCCCCTCTCGGCCCTAGAATGAGGCGATCGGAGGTGGGGCCAGACTGCTCGCTCCTGGGACTACCCCGGGCGCCCAGGAGGCCAGCGGGGCCTCGACGGTGAACTCAACCCCGCGGACACAGGGGCCGCCGGGCCGGCGACACCCGGGGCTCCGCGCCCCTCCAGGTCTCCATCTAGGGCTCCCCGGCCCCCAAAGAAGGCGATGACCCGGGAGGGGCGGGCGGGCGGCGGGGAGAGGGCACTGATCAGAGCCCTAGACCCGGGTCAATAACCGCACCCCCCCCCCCCAAGATCGGTACGGAACAGGGAGACCGGAGGGTTCCAAAGGTGGAGCAACAGCGTGTCCACCCCCCCCCCCCCGGGGCGACTCGGCAGGGACCCGAGGCGAAGGCGAAGCCGGGGCGCGGGGCGGGCGCGGAGGCGGGGACGCCGGGGTGGGGGGCGGCGCGGGTTTGAGGGGAGGGGGCGGGGCGGGTCCTTCCCCGGTGGGGGGGAGGGGGCGGGGGCCCATGTGACCGGCTCAGACCGGTTCTGGAGACAAAAGGGGCCGCAGCGGCCGGAGCGGGACGGGCCCGGCGCGGGAGGGAGCGAAGCAGCGCGCGCGGCTTAGCGAGTGAGCGCGCGGGGCGGCGGCCGCACTGGGCGCGCGGTGGCCGCGTCCCCTCGCCCGCTCCCCCGGGGTCTGGGGCGGGCAGGGAGGCTGAGCCGCGTCCCGGGCTCGCGGCAGCCCATCACGGACGCCCCTGGCTCGGGGGGGGGGCGGCCCGAGCCCTCCGCCGCCCCCTTGGCAGCTCGGACCCTGTGGGCCTGAGACTCGGGACCCGTGGGGTGGGCGATCCTCGCACGCGGTCCCCAGTGGGGAAGGGGCCGGGCCGCGGGAGTCCGACCCGTTGCTCTCTCCCCAGGATGCAGCACCGAGGCTTCCTGCTCCTGGTCCTCCTCGCCCTCCTGGCGCTCACCTCGGCGGTGGCCAAGAAGAAAGGTGACGGGGGTGGGCGGTGAGGGCGGTGAGGGCGGGCTAGGGCTGGCCGCCGGAGTTCCACTCGGGACCGCGCGGCACCCCGCGATCTGAGCTCTGTTCTGCGCGCGTTGTAGACAAGGTGAAGAAGGGTGGCCCGGGCAGCGAGTGCGCGGAATGGACCTGGGGCCCGTGCACCCCCAGCAGCAAGGACTGCGGCGTGGGCTTCCGCGAGGGCACCTGCGGGGCCCAGACGCAGCGCATCCGCTGCCGGGTGCCCTGCAACTGGAAGAAGGAGTTTGGAGGTGAGGTGGCCGAGTAGCGCGGCCGGGGGGGGGGGGGGGGGACGTCCTCGCTGAACACATGGGCTGGCTGGTGGAGGGAGGCCGCGGGGTGCCCGGCCCCGACCCGCAGCCCCTCTCCCGCCAGCCGACTGCAAGTACAAGTTTGAGAGCTGGGGAGCGTGTGATGGGGGCACAGGCACCAAAGCCCGCCAGGGCACCCTGAAGAAGGCGCGTTACAATGCCCAGTGCCAGGAGACCATCCGCGTGACCAAGCCCTGCACCCCCAAGACCAAAGCCAAGGCCAAAGGTCAGCGAAGGGGGGGGCTCCCCCACCCGAGAGGAGTGTTAGAGCTGAGGTTTGGGGTCCTTCCTGGTCAGTGATTCGTTGCCATTAGGATGTCCGCGGAGCAAGTCTTGGAGATGGGCACGGTGGGCCGAGGGAGGCTGGGGGGCTCGGGAGACGCCACATCCTCTCAGGCACAAGGATGGACGCCCTCGGTGTTCCGTGGGAGCATTTGGCTTAGGCTCCAGGAACAGGCCTCGGTCACCTCTCTTGCTGGAGGGGGCCGTTGGGCGCCCTGAGCCCTTCCTAGAAGAGGACCTCGCTGCCTCGCTCTCAGCCCTGACTCACGGCAGCCCAGATTGACCTCTGCCCGCTGGCCAGGCGAGGAAGTGGTGGCTGTTGTTCGGGCGTCTGGGCCCTGGCCTGGGACTGAAAGCTTGGAAGTTTTCTAATCCCCATTGAAAGTAGACATTTCAAGGAGTGGGAAAAGGTCCGTCCCCACAAAGGCTGCCTTTTCTCCCCCACCTGCTTCCAGGTCAATTGAGCCAAAGCCACCAGGGGGCGGGATTTTCTCTCCTCTGGCCTGTGGGTTGGGGGAGGGGTGCCAGAGAGGGTCTCCGGGGTCGGTGGGCTGCCTCAGCTAATGTGTTTTTCTTGTTTTACAGCCAAGAAAGGGAAAGGGAAGGATTGAGGCTAGGCTGGAAGGAGATGGAGCCCCTGGGCCTCACCTGTGGCCTGGTCACCGCCCTCCCCTCACACAGCCCGGAGATATAACCTGCCAGTGCCTTTTGTCTGCTTGTTAGCTTTATCAATCATGCCCCGCCTCTGCCCTCACTCTCCACCCCCACCCCAGTGCCCTCAGTGGGGAGGGACTAGGGATTCTGGGAAATTTGAGTCTCCCTCAGAGGGATTTGAATCCCACTCTCCCCCCCACCCCACCCTTTGTACTCCCCCACCATGATGCCTGTTACTGAGAAATAAATAAAATGAACTGACTTGTTTTCCAATCAAAGCTTTTCTTTTTCATATATAAAAGGGTGTTTGCTGTGCAGCTTTGTTGGAGGTGAGGGAGAAGACAGGCCGCAGGGACAGGCGAACTAAAAGGGTCGGGACTTTGTTAGTGAATCCTCCCAGAGCTCATGGAAAAAGCAGAACCAGGGTGAAAAGAACATCTTCCAGGGGCCCCCATGAAGTTCCCTGAACCTTTTTACTCTTCTCCCAGGGACCTGGCTGGAGCCGAGGAAGTGAACTTAGATGACCCACTAATGCTCAACCTCACCTAGTCAAAGGTCTTTTGGTCCAGGCCTCTGCCCATCAGAAAGATTTGCCCACAGGGAAGAGTAGAGGTGAGGGGTGCCCGCCTGCCTCACCCCTGCTACCACTGAAACCTATGGAGCGCCACCCTGTCCCCTTTCTCCTTTGGACCCCGGGAGGGCCTCCCTCATCAGAGAGGTGGAGGGAAGTACTGCCTAGCACAGCTCCCCTGCTTTCCGTGGTATGGAGGTGGGGTAGGAGGTCCTTCGCAAGAAGGCCCAGAACTCAGTTCCTGAGTGACTCCAGGACTCCCATCTTGGCCTGGCTGGACTCTAACTTGCTGCAGGACTTGCTGCTTCCTACCCAGAGCCTGGCTGCGCTGCGGCCCCAGGGGAAATGTCTACCCCTGGCTTGGGATTTGGGGGGGCGGGGAAGGGCTGAGCCTACATGCAGGGTGCAGGGAGGTGGAAAGCACCGGTTACAGCAGAATGGGGGACCCCACCTTCTACCTCTTCCTAGCCTGGCCCCTTTGCTCCTGGAACACTGTTCACTCACACGTCCATTCCTTCAACTCTGCTGGTAGTTGGCCACGACAGGACGAAACAGCTGCCCACCCCGGCCAGTGTCCTCCCCCCCAGCTCCCTGAAACAGGGTGATAAGCGCCAGGGGCCCCAGTTCAGACATTTCCTGACTCAGCCTCCTCGGCCTGAGCAGAGATGTGGTCTCGGAATCCGGCCCGAGCCTCTTCCGGAACCTCCCAGCATCTCGGAGACCGCAGTTCTCTTCAGCAGATGGAAATACGGAACACAGGGCCTCCGACTCTCTTCCCCTTGGCTGGTGAGCCCTGTGGTCCCCCAGCACACACACGTAACCCCAGCACCTCCTAGCGCACCTGCCTGCCTACCTGGCTGTGCCGATGTTCCGGTACTGGCACAGCAGCAGGTGCCGGAAGGTCTTTTTGAATGTGGCGTTGCAGAGCGCGTAGCAGGCAGGGTTGATGGTGCTGTTGACGTAGCAGAGCCAGTAGCCAATGGACCACACGGTGTCGGGGATGCAGCTCTGGCAGAAGGTGTTCACCAGGACCATGACGTTGTAGGGCGTCCAGGTGAGGATGAAGGCCAGCAGGATGGCAAAGATGGTCCGAGTCACTTTGCGCTCCCGAGCTGCCATCTGCCGCTTCTTGCGCACCTGATTACGAGCGATGCTGGCAAACTTTCGGGCCACGTTGGCTGCGGGACGCATGCCAGCTGGCGTGGCGGGCACAATCTCGATGGCTGTCACACACTCGTTGCCAGTCTGCTTGGTCACAATCTGGATCTTGGACCATTTGGAGGCTGGGTTGAGGGTTCGTGGCTGCAGGCTAGGCGCGGGCATGGCAGGTGTGGTAGCCTCTGTGGTGGACAGCTCTGTGGCTGGGCGTTCCTTGGTGTTCTGGGTGACGCTGCCGGAGCTAGACTCATTGGAAGTGTCCTTGTCGGCCACTGGGCGTGGCGGGGGTGGGGGCAGGGCCGGTGGAGGCGCCTCTTCCAGCTTCCCATTGCGCAGCTCCTCCCTGGCTGTCCCACCAGGCGGGGGTTTCTTCATGCTCTGCTTCATCAGGGGGCTCTTGAGGAAAGCCAGGGTCTTGGCCTTCTTCTCCTTGGGACCCTCAGGTCGGTGCTTATGGACTCGGCTGCGACTGGCCAGAGAAATATGAATGTAGAGCACGGTCATGATGACCACAGGCAGGTAGAAGGCCGCGATGGCTGTGCCGAAGGTCACTGCTGGGTTGGACAGGAACTGAATAAAGCACTGGTTGTCAGGTACTGTCCTCTTGCCCACCACAAATTGCCAGAACAAGATGGCAGGCGCCCAGAGCACAAAGGATAGGACCCAGGCAGCTGCAATCATGAGCCCTGCCATCTTGGTGGTACGACGGGCTGGGTAGGTGAGGGGCTTGGTGACACAGAAGTAGCGATCGAAGCTGATGATGAGAAGGTTCATGACGGAGGCGTTGCTCACCACATAGTCCAGGGCCAGCCACAGGTCACACACCACAGCGCCCAGAGGCCAGTAGCCCTTGATGATGTACAGGGTGTAGAGATTCATGGAGAAAGCGCCTATGATGAGATCTGCACAAGCCAGGCTGAACAGGAAGTAGTTGTTGACCGTCTGCAGTTGTCTGTTGACCTTGATGGACAGCATCACCAGGATGTTGCCTACGACAGTCACCAGGCTCAGCGAGCCCGTCACCGTGGCGATGAACACCATCTCCACAGTCTCGTAGCGGTTGTGAGTTGACGTTACCAGGCGCACAGACTGGTTGCTTGTACTGCCGTTGACTGGTGTGAAGTTCGCCATATTGGTTAGCAGCAGTGAATCGGCAGTGGCTGGAGGAGGAAAGAGAGGAAAAGGGTGGCATGATGGCGAGGCTGGAGGGTGATCAGAGGTTAGCAGGAGTCAAGGCCATGCAGCAACAGCAGCTCAGAGAACCTGAGCTCACTCCAGCTAATGCTCCTCCTTTGTGCCCTGATCAGCATACACAGAGGGCCTCCCAGGGCTCAGCTCTGCTTCCAGTGCTTCCATTGCTTCCAGTGAATTAAACAAGAGACCGCTGGCTAATCCTAGCTACTCAGGAGGCTGAGATCTGAGGATCAAAGCCGGATCAGGAGTCCCTGATCTCCAATTAACCACGGAAAATCTGGAGTTCAAGTGATAGAGTAAAAAAGTTAAGGGACAGCACCCAGGCCCTGAGTTCAAGCCATGGTACTGACATAAAAATAAATAAATAAATACTTTTCCAAAAAAATTGGCCAGGTGCCAGTGGCTCACACCTGTAATTCTAGCTACTCAGGAGGCTGAGATCTGAGGATCACAGTTCAAAGTCAGCCCAGGAGGAAAGTCCATGAGACTCATCTCCAATGAACCACCAGAAAACTGGAAGTGGTTCTATGGCTCAAAGTGGTAGAGCATTAGCCTTGAGTGGAAAAAGTTCAGGGACAGTGCCCAGGCCCTAAGTTCAAGCCCCATGACTAAAGGGGTGGGGGTGGGGGGGAAGCAGCAAAATTCAGGTTGTAGTAGTAGTTCAAATGCTACAACACTAGCCAAACTAGCAAACTCAGCATGCACAAAGCCCTGAGTTCAAATCCTGTATCAGCATAAGAAGAAGTAAATGGAGCATGTCATAGAACGTTGCTCACTGAAACATGGGAGCAACAAAAAACGTGCTAGTAGGGTGCGGGTAGAGAGTGAGTCAGAAGACAGGACCAGAGTGTCTTCTCGCTGGGGGATCAGGGGCCTTACCCAGGGAAAGAGGAGGAGGATGACAAGGAGGCAGCCATGTGAAGAGCTGCAGAGTGTGACCCAGACAAAGGCAATGACAAGAGCCAAAGCCCTGGAGCAGGTCTAAGGCCTAGACAGAAGCCAGTATGAATGGAACCCAGGGCATGTAGAGGAAGAAGAAGATGAGCGGTCCCAGCCACAGGCTTGCTGGTGTGCTACAGTGACACATTCAGTCTTTCCTCATTCTTTCTTCTTCTATTATTATTATTGTTGTTGTTGTTGTTGTTGTTGGTGGTGGTGGTGGTGGTGGTGGTGGTGGTGTGTGTGTGTGTGTGTGTGTGTGTGTGTGTGTGTGTGTGTGTGTGTGTGTGCTGGAATGGAACCCTGGCAGTCTTTGCACATGGTAGGCATGTGCTCTGTTACTGAACTGACCCCCCGGCCCCACTCAGTCACATCCTGTCCTAACCAAACACCCCCAAGGGTGTTTTTTTTTTTTTTAATCTTTACCCTGGAGACCAAAGCAATAATTGCAATAATTGTATATAAGCAGCTAATGCTGATTGTCTACTAAGTGCCAAGCACTTGTTATACTTTTTTTTTTTTTGTCGGTCGTGGGGCTTGAACTCTGGGCCTGGGCGCTGTCCCTCAGCTCTTCAGCTCAAGGCGAGCGCTCTACCACTTGAACTACAGTGCCACTTCCGGTTTTCTGGTGGTTTATTGGAGATAGGAGTCTCACGGTCTCTCCTGCCTGGGCTGGCTTTGAACCCCGATCCTCAGATCTCAGCCTCCTGAGTAGCTAGGATTACAGGCGTGAGCCACCAGCGCCCAGCTTGTTATACTTTTTATAGTATTTGTGCATCCTCCCCACAACCCTATGAGATGGATTCTGTGATTTTTTATTTTTACTATTTACAAGCAAGGAAAATAAAGAAGGTGCAGAGATGTGGAAATAACCTGGCCAAAGTTCTGTAGTTCCTTGATGTCTTGTGGTGGGGTGGTGCATGGGAGGGTAGGAGGAAAGCAGCCCCTGAGGGCTTTGGCAGAGGGAGCCGATGCTCCCAAGGCTGGGCGGCTTCCCTGAGGACCAGAGGTGGTGGGGAGAGGAGATGCATACCTGGAGGAAGAGGAGGAATTAGAGGAGAGTCCACATTCCCTCCTCAGCCCTCATTTGCAGCCCCAGGGCAGGGGAAGGGTCCTGTGGACCCCGAAGCCCAAAGGACATCAGCTGAGGAAGGACTTCCCAATGGCCAAGGCTCGCCCCAAGGCCGCATTGGAAGGCCCAAAGAGGAAAGGATTATCCAGAGGGAAGAAAGAGGCTGTCTTGGCCGGGTAGGGAATGCTGGGGAGCCTGTGGTCAACCCCTTTCACACCCTGCAGGGATGCAGCTCCAGCTGGAGTCCCCAGGCTCCTCCCCTGAGCCTGCCCTTCCTCCCACCAGGCTCTCTTCAGCTCTCCTCCTCCTCTTCCTCTTCCATACATGTGAGGGAGGCCCACGCCCAGCGCACTGTGCCAGGGCAGCCGCTCAGCCCAGCCTCCTTCACACCCGCCAACACACACCATTCCACATACGCACACAGGCCCCATCTCAGCCACACGCAGGTCGTAGACGCAGTTCTGTGCGTCTGTGTGTGTGAAAGAGGAAGAGAGGGCGCGGCAGCCGGCTGTGGAGGAAGACACACCAAGCCGGCAGCCTGAGCTGGCTGCAGGGCCAGCAGGGTCTAACTGGTGGCCCAAGATAAGCCATCTGCCTTCCTGCACATTGCAGGAATCTGTCCTGAAACAACCTCCTGAAGAGTGACAGGCTCAGCACCTCAACTTGATCTGTAGTGTGGAAATAGCACTGGGGGACTGTGGCTAAGTGTTGGGGTGCCCCCGAGCCTGGCCCCCCCAAGCTCCCCAAACCCCACTCCACTACCAGCTTCCAGGCTTCTAGTTCAAGTATTCCTCATACATCCTGGTTTCACAGGAGGAGAGACTCTGAGAAGGGGTAACACACTCCCAAGGTCACACAAGCAGTCAAGGGCAAAAGCCAGAGAGGGCCTTCACCCGAGAGTCTTCCAGCCCTCTTTAACTCTGAGTCTCCAAAATGGAATCTCAGGAATCACCTTGAGAACCCAGAAGGTAGTAATACCCAGTGTGAACAGGCTGCCCTCCTCCAGGCCCAAGCCAGAGGACAAGGGGGCCAGGAGAAATCATGGCCCAAGAAACTCTCACTTTAGCCTCCAGGGCCAGGCCACAGGCCAATGGGATAAGAAGGACCAGGGCTCCAGGTGCCAAGCATGAAGACATAACAGCTTTTGTTTATTGAGTGTTTGTCTGAGTTAGAAATCTCTCTGGGCTTTTAATATAGATTCTCTAGTTTACTGCCTTCCATAGCCTGAAAAGGCAGGCATTTTTAGTAGCCTCAATCTTACAGATTGAAATATCCTCTTACAGAGGAGGATCATATAAATTAACTTACCCAAAGTCACAGCTTATTAGTAGGGTGAGTGCAAGATCAGATGCCAAAGCCAGGGCTGGGAAGGTGGCTCAGTGATAGAGTGCTTGCCTTGCATGCATAAGGGTTCGATTCCTCAGCACCACATAAAGCAAAAAAGCCAGAAGTAGCACTATGGCTCAAGCGGTAGGACACTCGCCTTGAGCTGAAGAGCTGAGAGACAGCACCTAGGCCCAGAGTTCAGCCCCACAACCAACAAAAAATAAAAAAGAAGCCAAAGCCATGTTCTTAGAAGACTCCTAAGGTACTAGTGCTTTATGTACTGCCTTCCCCTCCAAAAAGAACCCCCCAATACTTACCATCTTAGGTTGGGAAGGGTCCCCTCCCATTCCTGCTAGCTCTGGGACTTAGCTCTTATCCTCAAAGGGGCCTGGGTGAGCTGAATAAGTGTGGGGGGTGGGAGCTGGGGGCAGGGCGAGGCTCGGTGTGTCTTCCCAACTCCACCCAAGTATCTTTCCGCACTCCTGGGGTCTTCCTAAGACATTCTGCCCGCAGACTCTGGAACGGGCAGGAGCAGCCACCGCCCGGGACCACGCGCACCACTAGATGGCAATGTCGGTCCCCGGTGCCACTCCGCTGTCGCTGTTCGCCACCAACCCCAACTACAACACCCGGCCTCGAGCCTCCCTCGTCGTCCCCCCACCCCCCACCCCACCGCCCCAGCAGGACTTTCCGGGGGAGAGGGGAGGGGGACAGGGACATGGAGCCCAATGGTCACACTCCGCCGAGGTGGAAAGTTTAGGGCGCTCTCGCAAGGGGAGTGTGGGCGGGCCCCGAGTGCGAGTTTCTGTTTGTGAGTGATTACCGGGGATCTGGAGTAGACGCTAGTAGTTGTTTGCATGTGCGTGTGCGTGTGTGTGCGCCCCGCCACGCCTGGATGCCCGCGCGAGCGCGTGAGCAGGCCCGCGGCGCGCGGACACGTGCGTGTGCATGCGGGACGCGTGCCTGGAGGACGCACGCCGGTGCAGGTGGCCGTACCTGTGAACTAGTGTTCGAGAGCAAATGTGAGGCGGATAAACCGAGTGCCGGGTCAGATTCCTACCTTCCCGGGCCTGGGGGGGGAAATGGGGGAGACTCCCGAACACCGAGGGGCTTCGTGGAGCCCGCACCGCCATCGCGCCCGGCTTGTGGGCCGAGGGACCCCTGACTTTGGATGGTGATGAGTGAGCCCCACGCCTAGTGTGTGTGTGTGTGGGGGGGGGGGGTTCTGCGTCCTCGAGGATGCAGCGCCCAGTCCCAGCCTCCCAAGGACTTCCGTCGCGGGGCCGAGGCGATCATCGCCCCAATCCGGCCCCGAGGGACCCCCGGCCCTTAGTTCAGCCCTAAGGGGACAGGGTAGTGTGCCCCCCCAAAGGGGAGGGAGCACATGCAGCCCCTCCACCCCTCACTCTGCATTCCATTCCGCTCAATCGGCCCTATCTGCTCCCCAGCGGCCCAAGTAGGCGCCGGTTTCTTAAATGGGGTTAGGTGTAGCCTCCGGGGCCACGTTGGGGCTTCTCTTGGGATCGATCCCCCGGAGGTTTCTGTCTCCTCCGTGGTCCGTGGTGGTCCTGGCCCCAGGTGCCCCGCCTTCCTGCCAAACCTCT